TAGATATATAGATATAGATAGATGATAGATAGATAGATGATAGATAGATAAATAGATAGATAGATAGATAGATAGAGATATATACTCTGCCATTAACAATAGTAAAAAATAAAAAATAAAATGGTTAAGTTGGTAAGTTTAATGTTTCATGTTTTTTACCACACACACAAAAAAATACCTATAGGAAAACGAAACACAAAACCAAAACAAGTATCTGCTAAGGTACCTGGGAGCAGTGTGCATCATTTAGTACTAATCATTTGGAAGATAAATAAATAACGGAGTAAGGGCTACAGGAGTGCAGAAAGATTGAAGTACTGAGAAGAAGAGAGCAGGAGTCAGTGATGTGGGAATTTCTCTACATAGTAAAAAATATTTCTTTTACACAGAAAAGATAAGAATGAGTGAGTAAAGTCTGTAATAAACAGAAGAAACCAAGAATGGTGGTGGCAAAAATAGGGTCAGTCTAACCAGGAAAGCTCAATAGCCAGGATTAGAAGGCTCTGTCTGTGCTTGAACACTCGTAAGGAAAGAACTTTTGAGTGAGAATATAAATTGTAAGTAATAACAAGTAAATTCAAAAAAGTTTGGAATAGAGGCCAGAGTGAGGAGAGGAATCAAAGAGTTACATATGTTAGGGGTGCTATTCAGTTTATTTTTATGCTTATTACAATATATAATTATTCAGCATATGCTTTTAGTAATTTTTACTTATATATTCTAGAAATTTATGATATGATCCCTGCCTCCTGGTCTTTGTACCTTTGTGTGATCTTACCCCTTGAGCGTAGGCAGGATCTGTGATTTGCTTCTAACCAATAGAAAACAGCAAAGGTGACAGGTTGCATACGGTTATATGTACATGATTATGTGGTCATATTACATAAGATTTGTGATGGTTAATTTTATGTGTCAGCTTGACTCGGTCATGAAATGCTCAGCGAGCTGATTAAACATTATTTCTGGTGAGGGTGTTTCTGAAAGAGATTAACATTTGACTTTATGGACTAAGTACAGTAGATGGCCCTCCCTAATGTAGGCGGGCACCATCCAACCCATTGAAGACTGGAGGAACCCATTGGATTCACCCTCTTCATCCTCTCTGCGTAACTGCTAAGCTGGGATATCTACCTCCTGCCCTCGGTAACTCCTAGTTTCTGGTCTTCAGACTGAGATTGGAATCTACACCATCAACCCTTCAAACTATACCTCCAGCCTTCCTGGGCCACCTCTTGTAGACAGCATATCGTGGGACTTTCCAGCTTCCATAACTGTGTGAGGCAATGCCTTATAATAAATCTTTTTATATAGAAACATATATACCCTATGGTTCTGCTTCTATGAAGAATCCTGACTAATATAAGATTGTAGCACTCATCTTGCTAGAGCCTCTTTCCCGTGCTGACTTGGAGAAAGCAAATGGCCATGTTGAAGAAACCCAGGTAGCAAAGAACAGCACACAGCCTGTGGGGACTGAAAGTGGCCTTCTCCAGCCAACAGCCAGAAAGAATCCCTCAAGGAAAATAATTCTGCCAACAACATGAGTGAGTTTGGGAGTAGATCTGTACCCAGTCAAGCATCAGATGAAACCACAGCCCCAGCCAACACCTGACTGCAGCCTTGTTTGACTTTAAACAGAGGACCCAACCACGTTGTGCCAGGACTCCTGACCCACAGAAAGTGTGAGATAGTAAATACATATTGTTCTCCCTATAGTAATTTTGTGGACATTATGACACAGCAATAGATAACTAATACAAAAGTAATAAATGATTAATTGTGTGCCTCTTAACTCTGAAATCCCATGAAGTCAGAATCTGCTACTCCAAACAGTGCAGGAAATTGGCAAAGAAGTTAATACAGACAAATAGCAAAGCTTGGCCAAATACTTGAATGAGCTTGAAAGTAAAGAAGGTGAAAAGAGTAAATGATTGAAAGGTTGCTGAAAACCATAAGAACACATAACACATATTATGATAAATGTATAGGTGGGTGGATAAAGAGAAAATATTAATATCTATAATCAGTCCAGATAGTACTTACTTCATTTCTATGTCATAAACATTAATTTCTTTAAATGTACTTCTTAATAAGACTATGCATACAAAATTATTTTTATAATGTACAACTTTCTACTTTATATCAATAAGGTATCTGTCAACAACCCTAGCCTACAATTTTTCAAAATGAAAACATTTCACTGAATAGGAAAATGAAACTTGCATACATAGAAAAACTTCAGAATGTCACACCTGCTTAGAAAGCTGCTCTTCACATAGCTTGTAGAGCGTGAAAAACTTCCTGGCCAAAACAATGTTGTCAATGAAGCCGCAGCTAGCCAACTTCACCCTTATGATAATCTGACGGTCAGGGACCATCATGGCCACGGAGCGGAAGTTAATCTTCAAGTTTTCGGGGAGTTCCTGCCGCCCAGCATAGCCAGGATTCTACACAAAATAAAACCCTAGGATGAATGATATGATCATGGGGCAAGCAGCATACATCAGTAGGACATTAAAAGATCCATTATGTACACACCACAAACCTGGAATGACAACCAGAGAATTCATTTACCTATCTCCCTCGCCTTTTCCCTGAAGAGATTAACTGGTGAGTTGTTAATATGAGCTTTAACTCCAAAGGCTTTCAACCAGGAGTGAAAGTTACAATCCCAGTTTCCATTCATGGAAAGTAGGTGACATATGACCAAGGAGATATATGAAACCTGTGACAAGAGGCAGAAATTCAGTAGAGCTTCCTTACCATGGTTAGAAAAAGTCCAAATTCAGGGTTCATAGTCACTCTATCTCCATCAGTAAAAATAAAAGATGTCTTATGCTCCTTTTTGCATGTCAAAATAATGGAAATTTGCTGGGCTGCAACTGAGAGAACTGGTAGATCGATACGATTAAATTCATCAAAACAACCCCAGGATCCAGACTGTGCCAGTCCTTAGCAAGGAAACAGAATGGAATGGAAAATCCAATTAGTATGCAATTTTTGGAAAGCCAAGGAAAAGGACATTACGCAGCTGCCAAGACAAGCCAGACATAAGCTGGTTGCAAACATAAAGGGGAACAAACAGATCATGCATAGAGTGCCCGCAAAATAGCTCACAGTGTGGCGTTTTCTCTGTAACACCCAACCTGCAGTGATAAAGAAGCATTACGAAAGGCCAGTGGCATTGACAGTTGATCCACTCAACACTGCTAAGATTCAGATTTTCCAAAAAGAGTTACAACGTGTAACAATGACCCTAAAATGAAGCCAATTATTGAAATATCAATCTTAACCTATTCCACCTTAAATGAAATTTCTCATCAGATAAAAGAAAAGAAAAACATAACCTTCACCTTTAAAAATCCGTCCAAGCCCTCGGAAATCCATCTGGTCCGAACAATTGAAAACCACAACATATTTCCCAAGACATCGTCCCATATCCTTGGTGGTTTCTGTTTTGCCCGTTCCTGCAGGTCCAGCGGGGGCTCCTCCCATGCTCATTCCCAGAGCCTGGGCCAACGTGATGTAACACCTTGAGGGGTAGAGACAGCACTGGAACCAAAGCACTGGCATCTAGAACATATTCTGAAACACCGCAGTGAAATGAAACCCGTGCAAGATTTAAAGAAGAATAAGGAGGAGGAGGAGGAGGAGGAAGGAGGAGGAAGTGAAGAAGAAAAGAGGAGATGAAGGAGGGAGGAGGAGAGAGGAGGAGGAGGAGGAGAAAGAGGATGAGGAGGAGAAGGAAGAGGAGGAAGAGAAGGAA